ATAAATTTGATTTGAATTAAAATGTTAAAAAAAAATAGTGATCATAATACCCCCTCCCTAATATTTAGGTCCAGATCTACTCAACTTTCCGGAACCTTATTCTATGAATTTCATGAGTCACACCTGTTCATAAGCTATATCCTAACCACCACTACCCACACACATACTTAATTGGCATACTGGCCATTTCCTGAACTAGAGCTCAGCTGGGATAACACTAAGGGATTTCAAGCATCTTTGTAATGTTATTGCCTATAAGCTTCACCTGCACCCCCATTAGACTATATGGATGGATAATAACCATCCAGCCAGATTTAATTAAATTTTAGAAAAGGATATTTAGTAAGGTAGTGTAATAAGGACCTCTGTCATAAAGCATCCCTCAAAACTGGGGGCATACTTTCTCATGAGTGTGTGTTAAGCCCATTGGAAAGTAGACTCAAATTAGGAAGCACATGTGGTAAAGGAGTAACCTATACATCCGTTTTCAGAAGTTCTTTCCTCCTCTTTATGAGGTACTGATAATGTTTCCCTTAGGTATCCTGGAACTTCTCTGCCAGGCTCCTTAGAGAGTCCTGAATTCGCCTTTCCTTAATATGTCTGATTTGCCACCAACTCCCAATATTCATACTCTCATTAGCAACTGCTGATCCAGGGACAAAGCTAGGATATTGATGGGAAGTCCAAATCTTCCAACATTTCAAAGCTCACATGATTATTTATTGATTAAAGGAAGGCAAGAAGAAGATGGGGAGGGGAGAAGACAGAGGATCCCTCCTTTCCCCTAAGTGATTCCCTCTCAGGGGCTTAGCTGGAAATGTCCCGTCATAAAGCAAGCCTGCTTATTGAAATGTCAAATTCAGAATTAGCTTATTTTTATAAAAGTTCTACAAAGTATGACTGACTCTCCAACCAATCCCGATAGACTTCCTGTGTAGTGTAATCCCATTTCATACCATGGCTTTCACTCCTTCCAAATTAATTAGGCATCTTTGCTTTCAGTTTAATTTCTTTGATTTGGTGATTGATTCAGGAGAGATGTTCTCAAAGGGATAAAGACACAGGGGCAGAGTAACTTTTTAGTTACCTTAAGTGGTATTGAGTAATTGTTCATTCAATAGATTCACCCTTATATATATATATAAAATAACAAACATAGCAAATCATCCATGTCATTGCTAATGGAAAATGTGTGTCAATCAATTAATCAGTGACTCCACTCATTATCTCTGAGACTTTACAAATGAAAACACACCTCTTAAGTCATAACTGCTCCATAGGTCTTGTCTTTCTCCAGTAGAGTATAAACTCTTTGAGGTAAAGGAATGCCTTCCTATTGGATTTTATCTCTCCTACTTAGTACAGTGCTTGAAACATTGTTGGTTCTTTTTTTGTTTGTTTCATTCATTCATATCGTTTTTCTTTATATGTTACTAAATGTGATGTTGCATTTTGAGGAACATTCACACAGACATATGCGCGCACACACACACACACACACACACACACACACACACACACACAAAGGCCTTGGTTAGTCAACTTATTTTGTACTTATCAGTCAGACTCACAAGAAGGTGCGCTCAACAAAACTGATGGACTTCATAAATGAAGTTTTCCCTTTTGAGAATGAGGAGCAAAGTGCAAAGAACCTTAGATAAGTTTGAACCCATGCTTATTTGGCTGGGAGAAATAATTGATGCAGAAGCTTGGGCCTTCACTACCCTCTACAACAGTTTGACTTTTGTTGTTGTTGCCAAGAGGTCACATTGGGGAAAGAAGGGAAAAAAAAATCCAAGTCTATTGAGTTGGGGACTTGACCATGTAATTTGCTGAAAGTATGATGGGGAGGGGCAAGGGACTTTAGAAATGTGTTGATTCATATTAGCCACCTGAGATGATTTATGAATTCCACTCATCCACTCTTGGCTGGTTTTCTTGTTAACAAGAATCATTGGATACTGTCTTTATTTAGTAATACTTAGAAGCCGGTTCAGACTTATGGACCGAGCATTCTGAACTCCACGTGAGAATGTGTCTATTTCTATGAGTATAACTGAATTTGCGTATAGCTGAATGGTTGATGCACAGTGGGACACAGACCTTTGATAGCTATAGTGTTTATTGAGATTCATTCTTATAGAATATTCTGGTACATTGTTTAGGTCTCAACTAGCAGGAGAGGTAATATGGTGAATTGAGATGGAGAGTGGATAGAAAGCAAGCTTGGGATGCAGGATGGCATTGGTTTAAGGTCCGGCTCCTATCCATATCTTAACTTAGAATATCTCTAACTCTCAGTTCTCTTGCTTGCTTTATGTCTCCTATTCTTCATACACAGCATTCTATGTCCAATTCCAAGTGTTTTCATTGACCCTATGTTCCCCATGCCTGGAATTTCCTCCCTCCTCCTACTCTGTCTCCTGGCTTCTCTAGCTTCCAACAAGTCTCAGTTTGAGTGCCATCTATTGCAAGAGACTTTGCCTGATCTCTCTTAATGCTATTGCCTTCTCTCTGTTAAATGTTCCAAATTATCTAATTTCAAATTTCATTTGTACATGGTTTTTTTTTTTTTGCATGTTTTCTCCTACATTAGACTGTAAGCCTCTTGTGAGCAGAAAATCTTTTGCCTTCCTTTGTATCATCAGCACTTAGCAGAGTACATGGCTCATAGTAGGGAAAGGGAGGGTTTAATATTCCTATATTATGAAGGTTCAGTTATTTCAAAATGCATGTTGGGCAAAGAGAAGTGTCAGACTCACTCAAAGCTCACCACTTTTCTGCATAAATCTGACTTTATGTGCCTCCCAAATTGGTAGGAAGATTGGACTTAATAAGTATAATTCAATCAATTATGGAGGATTTCTTAGGTGCTTACTATCTTCTAGGCACTGTGTAAGGGGCTGGGAATTCAAGTCAAGAGAATGAAATAATCTGTGCCCTCAAAAATCTTATATTCCATGAGGGGAGGCAATATATGAATGTATAAGTATGCAAAGAATGGTTATATATGAAATATATACAGACAAAATACATGATAGGGAGAGAGGGCACTAGCAATTGTGGAAATCAGGAAATACTTGAGTTTCACTTTGAAGAAAGTGAGGGATTCTGTCAAGTCAAGGTGGGGAGGGAGTGCCTTACAGACATGTCATTGCAAAGGTACAGAGATGGGAAAATGAGTTCTGTTGTGAGAAACAGAGATGAGGATAGTTTGAGGCCCACTTGACTAGGCTGCATAGTGTGGGAGGGAGAGTAATAATAGACAATAATGTTGGGTCCGGGTTGGGAATGGTTTTAAAAGCCAAAACAGGGGGTTAATATATTGGGAACCTCATACAACTCAGCCTTGGAGAAAAAGGTACTAACAAGTGGTGAGGGGCAAAGGGTGGGATGGGGAGAAAGGAAACATGCAAAAGGTGGTATTTGATCTGATTCTCAAATGAACTATAAATTCCCAGAAGAGGCTGTTTATTTCAAGCGTGGAAAGGGGTGAGATGAAAGTATATGGTGTCCGAATTAGCATGGCGGTCAATATGGCCTAAACCGCAAAGTGAGTAGGGAGGTGGAACAGGTTGCAAAGAGGTTTAAACGCCAAAAAAAAAAAATGGTTATATTTAATTCTTGAGATAAAGGAAGACATTGGAGTTTGTGGCTCAAAGAGATTACATGGTCATCCACTTAAGGGAAAGAACTTGGGAGAACATTTGAAAGATAGATTGTTAAGAGGAGAGAAAGATGAATTAGAAGGCTATTACAATAACCCAAGTAAGAGGTGATAAAACACTAAACTAGACTGGTTCCTGTGAAGAGAAAGAGGAGTATGTGAGAGATGGAAGAGGGATAAAAACACAATACTTGCCTACTGGTTAGATATGCCTCAAGTTTAAGATGATTCCAAAGGAGATTCTGAAACTGTGAATGAAAGGTACCCATAATAGTGGCAAGGAAATACAGAAGAGAGGTGAAGGTGGGAAAGGAAGATAATGAATTCTGTCTTGGACATGTTAAATATGAGATGATTGTGGGACATCCATTTCAAACTGTCCAAAATGCAGTTGGTTATCCAGGACTAATGCTCAGAGGAGAGACTAGGACTGGATATATACATCTGGAAATCATCTGCATAAAAATGATATTTAACCCCTCAAGTGTCTCCAAGGGAGAGTGTAGAGAGAAAAGAGAATACTCAGAATAGTGACTTGGCATACACTCAGAGTTAGAAATCATGACCTAGGTGAATTCATAAACGAATGCTTTTTTTCAAGGGAACCTCAATGATACTTTGTGTGATAGTGGTCTATGTTGACACTGCTTACATCCTGGCAATATGAGTTAGCCAGGGTCAATTTTTTGTTTGATTTCAAATGACAGACTAAAGACTTGTTCAGTTCATTTCCCAGGGTAATTTACATCCTGGTTAGAAACCAGAGAGTTCATAGATATACACCATTACTTAATCCCAGTTCTGCCCTGCCTCCAGATCTAAGCTAGGACCTGTGTTTCTTCAAATCTCCATTCTCTATTAGTGATCAATTGCATGGATATAAAACTCAGCAGTAAAAATAAAAGTTCGATTTTTCACGCTGTACTGACTGCTAACTGGTGCTTTTAGTGTGGTCCCTGTGTAAGTGAGAATGAATCGTTTTAGGAAAACCTGATAGGCAAACCTTATATTAATATGGTATTTTCACAAGGTCGAAAGAGTGATCTCTTTTATCCATGTGATATTTGGATCTGTAAAAAGACAATAAAAAAGCTTCCATTGTTGTCCAGAGCCTCAGCACGCTGATGGTTAAAGGCTATTGAGGGTTGGGGGAATGATGGAGGTGGGCAGGCTCTCTTTCCCTACTATTCTATCTCTTCCAATCATAAGCTCTTCTTTTGGCAAAGGCAGGTCGACTTCCCTGCTCCTTAATGGCAGAAATGTGTCAGCCCCCTTCTGGATGTTTGACTTTCAATAACTCTGGTGTATTTCATTCTCTTGTCCCTTTCTCTAGCTGGATAGTGCCACATCACTCATCCAGGCAGCCAAGAACTTGATGAATGCTGTGGTTCTCACCGTGAAAGCCTCTTATGTGGCCTCTACCAAATACCAGAAGGTCTATGGGACAGCCGCTGTGAATCCCCTGTGGTGTCATGGAAGATGAAAGCTCCTGAGAAAAAGCCCCTAGTGAAGCGAGAAAAACCAGAAGAATTCCAGACGAGAGTTAGACGAGGCTCTCAGAAGAAACACATTTCTCCTGTACAGGCATTAAGTGAATTTAAAGCAATGGATTCCTTTTAGGACACTAGGCTTTACTAGGGAAAAAAAGGGTTTTCTTTTTTTGTTTTTAATCCTTTTTTGTATATGTACCTGCTGACTTATGTGCCTCTGGCATGGGGAAAAGCTAATGAACCAGTTTCAGTTTGCATGTGACATGAGATCGGATCAGACAGAATCAACCCATTGGCAGCTTGAGTGGGCAAGGGGATCTTGTCCAAAGCTGACAGGAAGCTACTCTTGAAATGCCTACATAGAATTGGCCAACGAATTTACATCTTGCAGTGTAAGGGAAGGGGAGGGAGGGGGAAGACAAATTTTGATCTATCAAAGCAAAACTTTATGCATGCAAGAAACATTAGTTGGCAGGTATATTGCTAAGTGAAAAGGCTGGGGTTGGGGGTGGTGGGGGTGATGGTAGCAAATTAAACTTGTATTGCTTCTGTTTCAGTGCAAAAACAATGTACTAGCCGATATGCTTACATGTGTGGCCCATGGATCAAATGATTAAACTTTGAGGTCATATCTTCATTATAGTATGTGAATTTTTAACATAGGGGAAACCTAAATAATCCAGCTTCAAGTGCTTCTTTTAATCCATATTTTGTTCTTTATCTTCTAGTCCTGCTATGACTCTTGTTCATGTGATCAATTATTCCCATTCACCGACAAAAAATGAAACTGACTTTCGCCAATTGAAATCCTGATAGCAGCATTTGAAGCACAATATAGTGGCTGGCCTTTGCCATTTTGGTTATGATTTTATTTTTTGCTAGAAATAGAAGGCCCAATGGTGGAATGTTTAGAATTATGGAAATCTGAAAATGTGTGACAGTCTAGAGGCAAATATATAGATGTAGCTTGGAGTGCTGGTATCTATTATACCATTGTATCCACTAACTCTAAATAAACTCATTTAACCTTGACGTTTGTGTGATGCTTTGCATCATTTCAGGAACACACTCATGGGTTGGAATCTCTTGACCATGGGTAGTAGAGTGGGAATACTAGACAAGGAATCAGAAGACCAGGGTTTGAGTTCTGGCTAATAATATAGCTTTTTAAGTTGCAAATCACTTTACATATACTGTTTCCTTTGATCCTCCCAAAAATCCAGGGAGGTAGATGACATTTTTATCCCCATTATGCAAATAAAGAAACTGAGCCTAAGATAGGGTAAGTGATTTGTCTAGGGTGACACTGAATGAAAAGTTTGAGGCAATATTGAATTTAGGTCTTCCAGCGAACTCCAACACTTCATTTCAGAACCTGGCTTCCTGAATGTTTTGCCCCATTGTAACAGAGCTCCCTGAGAGCAGAAACTATTTCACTTTTATATTTGCCTCATGTGTCTAGAATAAAGTAAGTGTTTAAAATAAGTATTTTTTTAAAATAAACAGATCTAGCACTTCTTAGCAATATGACTAGGGATATGAATACATTGGTCATTGAATTTATCTGTGGCCTCCCTTCCTAGATATTATTAGCATACTGGAGACAATCTTTTTCATTAAACAATGAGTTTTGTGGTAAATTAACCCCCATTCGTGGGCAGCTCCCTCTCTTCGCTCAGATACTTCACCAACCCATGGAAATCATTTCCATGGGCTCTTTGGGAATGTCTGAAGGTAATGATGCCTGAATACCAAGACAAGCTATAGTTCAATGACAACTGGTATACAGGGCAAATATATAAGTCTACTCTTCCATCCTTCAAAATCTGACTTATTTCTGAGTCATGATGGTTTAAGTTAAGGAGTACTCAGGAAATCATTCATTTCTTTCACCAAGAAACTAAATTTGACTCCTTTGAGAATCTTCTACAATTTCATTGAGACCACTCCAGACAATGGAGATTGCTTCCATTTTCATTTGTCCAGCTTTCTTCCTCCTAGCTGTCATACCTTATTTTTAATTCTATTTCCTTATTTCCCATTACTAGCATTTTAACACAACAACAATTTCCTCCTTTCCTGCTTCAGATTTTCTCTTCCCCTCCAATCCTCCTTCTACCCCAATTTTATAGGGGGCAGAGGAAAGACGTAAAAGGGGTAAGGAAGACCTAGAAGGCAGAATGATTCTTAATGAGCAAGACTAGCTGGGGGATTGAAGCTCCTTTTCCACACCTATAAAAGAAGGGCACTGGTTTAACTGATAAAGAAGGTCCTGGCAAACTCTATTTCAAGGATCTTATGATTCAATTCAATTCAGCAAGTGTTTCTTATGTACTTATTATATACTAGGTACTATGCTAGTGATTGAGGAAATAGGGACAAAACCAAAGTAGTGCCTACTCTCAGGTAACGGTAATAATAATAATAATAATAATGATAATAACAATGACAATAAGAACTAATATTTATATAGCATTCATTATGTGCCTAGCACTGTGCTAAGTGCTTTACAAATATGATCTCACTTCATTGTCACAGCAACCCTAAAAGGTAAGTGTTATTAGTGTACTCATTTTAGAGATGAGAAAACTAAGGCGGATAACTTGTGACTTGCCTAGGGTCACACAGCTAGCAAGCATCTCAGACCACATTTGAACTTAGGTATTCCTGACTCCAGGCATAGCACACTGCACTGTATCCACTGAGTCACCTCCACACTTGACACTCCATGAGATTATCACATGTCAGGAAACCTGAATATCTGGAATTAGCATGGAATGATAAGATACCCTGTATGTATGTATGGAGAGAGAGACAGACAGACAGACAGAGAGAGAGAGAGAGAGAGAGAGAGAGAGAGAGAGAGAGAGAGAGAGATTAAGAGAGAAATTGGGGGCAGAGAGAGACTGCAGAGGAAGGTTTGGGTGACCAAAATATTCTTGTTTGCTTTCCATTTTGACATAGGGTGGGTCCTGTTCAAGACCACAATGAAATATAATATGAATTCTAGCCTCAAAAAGGAGAACCCCTGTTGAAAAAAAAAATTAGCAATAACAACAATCATAGAAATTCACTCCTGTTGAAATGAAGTATGCGGCTATGTGGTACAGTGGATAGAGTGCAGAGCCTGGAATCAGGAAAACCTGAGTTCAAATCTAGCCTCAGATCACACAGCCACAGTAGCTGTGTGACCCTGGTCAAGTACTTACCTCTGTTTGTCTGTTTCCCCTTCTGTAAAATTAGCTGGATAAAGAAATGGCAAATCACTCCAAATATCTTTGTAAAGAAAACCTCAAGTGAGGTAATGAAGAGTAGGACACAACTGAAAATGGCTGAACAGTAATTGAAATGAACCAAATTATAACTCAATGTAAGTAAAAAAAAAAAAAAGTCCTAAATTATGAGATAGCTCCAAAAGTGGAATGGGCTGCCTTGGGAGGTTGAAGATTCCCTACCATGGAGGACTTCTAACACAGGCTAGATCTAACACACCTGACAAATGTGTGATAGTAAAGCTTCTTTTGGGACATATAAATATCATCACAAGATGACAGTTGTAGACCTGGAAAGGACAACAAAGGGCATTAAGGTCAACCCCTCACAATACAGGTGAGTTAATGGAGACCCAGAGAGGGTAATAACTTGTCTAGATTACACAAGTTGTAAGCAGTAGAGACAGCATTTGAACCCAGGCCATCAGGTTCTAAATTTTTCACTTTACACAATGCAGGACAATAGTTGCCACTGCAGTTCCTTCCAACTTTTCAGTCATGTTATTCATAAGAAAGCTGTTAGAATACAATGACCTTGAGGTAATTCTGTGAAGTACATTATACCAGTAACAGGGTGGCCATTTTTAGATAAGGAAACTAATGCATAAAGAGATTGTAGGATTAGGTCAAGGTCCCATTGACACTAAGTGTCACAGTCACAATTTCAGTTGAGGAGAGAGTATAAGGTACAGTGGGAAAAGAGATATGTCTGGAGCCAGAGGACCTGTATTCTGCGCCTGCTCCTTTCTTCCTGTATGAACTTGGGGTTGTCAATGGATGTGGCACCCACTGGATTTTAATTTCCCATGAGTAAAATGAGGGTTTTGGACTAGACAGTTTGTGGGGATCCTTCTGTTTCTAAATATATGATCCTCTGAAGATCTGGACATCTTTGAGTTCTGATGTAAATCCTACTTCAGAAGATTATTATGTGATCTCAGACAAGTCCTATAGTTAAACCCTGCTAGCCTCAATGCCTTTATCTGTGTACACACACACACATACACATACATACACACACACACAAACACACACATATATATACACAGATATTCATACACACACAGATATTCATACACACATATGTATGTGTATATGTGTACATATATATGTGTGTATATATACATATGTTTATATATGTGTATTCTTGGTTATTACTTGCTTCATGTGATTGGTGTGAGAATTAAATTAAAGAATTTATGTAAAGCAGTTTGTAAACTTTAAAGGGATACATATATACTCACATGGAGCAGATTTTCTCTTTCTAACACATTACACTTGCCCATTAGCTGCTAATGAAGAAAGAGAAAAAGACATAACTGGCTAGATGCATTTTACCTGATTAATAGATCAAGCTTTATAGGACCTTAGATCTGGTAGGGATCATGTTGTTGTTGTTTAGTAATTTTCAGTCATTTTCAACTCTTCATGACTCCTTTTTGGGGGTTTTCTTGACAGAAATACTGGAATGGTTCACCATTTCCTTCTGTATCTCTTTTACAGATGTGGAAACTGAGGCAAACAAGGTTAAGTGACTTGCCCAGGATTACACAGCTAGGGTCTGAGGCCAGAGTTGACCTTAGGTCTTTCTGATTCCAGGCCTGGCACATTACCCACCATGCCACCTGGCTGTTCCTTGTAGGAATTATAAGGTAATTTAGAACTGGCAGAGATCCTAGAGATCACCTAGTTGAACCCTTTCATTTCCATTAGGGCAAAAACACCCAGAGATGAAAAGCAACCAGGATCACACTGTAGCAAAACTGGCACTTGAAAGTAGATCAGAAGAACCCAAGATTTAGAGCTCCAAAGTCCATCGAGCCTAGCCTTCTCGATTGTCATATCAGGAAACTGAGACCCAACACTTAAATGACCTGACTAGGGCAACCCAGGTAATGTTTCTGAGAAGGAATTTGTTGTCTAGTCCCCTGATTGCAAAGCCAGGTTTCTTTCCATTGTACCCATGAGAGGGCTTAGTGGTATTCTTAATTAGTGAGTCCAGAGAGCATGTAGCGCAATAATATTCCCTGTGTACATTGGTTGCACAGTTCTCTATGAATCAGGAACTTTCCTTGAGGTGTCAGAGCTCCAATTTGAGAAATATGTTCCCTTTCTCCCAACTTCCTCCCTAGCTCCCATCCTCTCCTGCCCCCTTTCAAGTGGCAGGAACAAGGAGCTCATACCCATCAGTAAAACTGGTGACTCAGAGGCAAGGGACTATATCCTTTGATTCAACACATTCCCAAAGTGAATATAATTAATACAATTAACTGTTGGGGATGAGAGACTATTCTGTTGATTCCATTCTGGTATGGTTCAAGGGAACAAATGTTCTTCACACCATCCAAGTGGCTTCTCACATTTGCATGTGTCTTGGCCAAATTTTAAAAAGAGAAAACAAATAGAAGAAGGCAGAACATCACAGAAAGGATGTGACTCTGAAACTGTTGGTTCTGGAATTTGAGAAGGCTTAGCTTCATGGTACAGTCTAAGACAGAAGGTTGGGCTATTGGCCAGAGGATAGTTTTTAATTGGTTTCAATTCAACATATATGTTTGAAAGTCCTACTATGTGTTTGGTGCCATGCTAGAGCATAGAAAGACATAAGGAGAAGCCATTCCTGTGCTCAAGGAGCTTGAAAGGGTATTCATTCATTCATTCATGCATTCATTCATTCAAACTGTGACATGTTAAAAGTTTGAGAGACATAGTTGCTGGGTAATTAATCATTTTATTAATAATGCTAGCAAATTACCAATA